TTCCCGATAAAAACCGGAAAACCTACTAGACAAATTCTAAAAGAGCTGTAACACTATAGAAGTACTGTCGAGAGTGACTTGAGGGTATCCGGGGACTCTACTTTCGGTGAGGGTGAGTAGAGGGGACGTTGTTTGAATCATTCTTTCCTCTAAGTTATGTGGAAGTAAAGTACAGCTGACAGCAAGGACCTGTAACTTAAGGTAATATACCTACGTTTGCCTTCCAAAGTCATTAAAGTGTTGATAAGAGTCTATGCAAATACTCTTGGTGTTGATTGGACAAAAAGTCCAGGCACACCCCCCTCGACTTAGAAGGAAAACGCGTCACGGAAAGCTAGGGAGGCTGGCATCCTTGGGAAAGTTTCGCTTTGGGTTCACCGCTCGCTGAGCCTGAGCTCGGAGTGCTGCGGGATCTTTCTGGACTTGGAAAGATGTCCAGGAACCCTTCCAGCTCCAGCAAAACTGATTGATAATTCCCGGGTGACCATTCTGTCCGTGGCACTTTAGAAACCACTTCCTAACTCCTTTTACTCCAGTCCTAGGGGGGGATCCTTTGCCATGGACTTTGGGGCTTCAGGGCCCTTCCCCCGCCCCCATTCCACAAGCCTGCCGTGGTGATTTTCTTCGGGGGTCCTGGGTAGTGTAGGAATACAGGCACTGCCAAGGTGAGGAACCATTGACCTTCTCGAGTCTGTAAACCAGAGGTACTTGCATTTTTGAGAAAAGCCCAAAGTAAAGGAGAGCTGATGGTCATCTGAAGACCTCTAACCAGACCTCTGCTGACCTAATTATCCTCGCCAGTGCCTTCAGCCCTCTCCTAGGCAGGTAGAAAGAACTCTCCAAGTGACTTTTTTTGGAGAAGAAGAATCTGGCAATGCTACCCCTTCCCCACAGGTCCCCACCTTCAGCACCGTCGGACTTCCAGTCCCCTCCCACGTGACAGCCACCCAACCCCCCCCCCTCAAATAAACCAGCCTTAGTCATTCTGGGGGGTTGTGAGGATTTTTTTGTTGTTTGGTTTTGGTTGGGGCCTTTTTTTTTTAAAGAGTGGCATATAGATATTTATATATATATATAAATTATTAATGTGGGGGAGGAATTGTGGGGGTATACAATAGGGGAGGCGCGCCACACACAGGTTGGGGGGGAGGGCGGGGGCAGCACACGACGCTATGCAAAACAGCCACATCTAACAGATGAAATAATCACACCAAGGTGGGGGGGAAAGGAGGAGGGGGCAACTGCTCCCCCCAGAAAGCTGGGAGGGGAAGGAGAAACAAGGAAGGGGAATCCCGACCCGTGCTGCTGTGCGCTTTTGCCTCTCACCACACTTATCTCCCCAGTACCCCTGCCTCATCCAGCGCCGCCCCCCCCCCACTTCTGTCTTCTCTTTTCTCTGGGCTGGGCCTCTTCATTTTCCTCAGGGGGGCTCTGGCACTGCCTGGTTCTGCCAGAGAAGGCTCTCCTCCCCTCCCGCTGGTCCCATCACAAGGGTATACAGCTGGTGCTCTACAGAGGCTTGTCGTTTTCCTTCTTCAGATGACTGAAATGGGGTAGGGAAAGGAACAGGAGAGGCAAGGAACGAAAGAGAGAAGACAATGTATTATCCTCGAGTTTCGTGGGGTGTGTGTTGAGGGGTGGATCAGGATATCCACATGCCAAGGTGGAAGGAATGGGAGGGTCCGTGCTCTAGGCAGACTAGGGCAGGATCAAGCCTGGCAGCTCTTGTGAGGGCAGAATCGTTTCTGGGGGTTCATTCACACTAGAACCCTTGCTGGGAGAGAGGTTTCAGGGCCTCGTGTAAGAATGGCTTGCAAGGCCTGTGAATGTGCCCTCCTCTGAGGTTAAGGACCGTTTTGGCCTCTCTGTTTCCCAGTGCTTAGCACTGTTTCTGGAACATAGCGAGCATTTTAAAAATGGCTTGTTGACTTGAGAGCCCCATTCCTGGTCACCATCCTGCTGCTCCCCAGGCTTGGGGAGCCAGGGGTCCCTCAGCTCCGCCCCAAGCCAGGGAGCCCCAGTCCCAGCCACCCCCAAGGTCCACCCCCGGTTCGGATCTGGCTTCACACTGTGTACCTGTAGTAGTCCTCCTGGGCAGGCAGCGGCACACTGTGTAGGGGGTGGTGCGCATGGAGCCACTGCTGCTGCTCCAGGGCCAGGCGCTGCAACTCAGCAGATTGGGCATGCATGGCCTGCAGCTGATGAGCTGCTGACATGGGAGCTGAGAGTGAGGCTGGCAGGTCCCGATAAGGGGTGGCTAGAGACAAGAAATTGAGAGGGAGAACAGGGGAACACGGATCAGCTGGCTTGCCCCAGCACCGCCCACCCCCACCTCCTCCAAGCATTTCTTCTTCCCTCCCTGTAGCTCTTCATTTCCCAATTCCTTCCTTTACGTTCCCCTCTCTCCTCCCCATCCACCATCCTTACCAAAGAGCTGGTGACGGAGAACCTCATTCTCATGCAGGGGGTGAGGCAGGAGGGGGTTCGGGAGGGTCCCAGCTGGGTAGGGGATCCGGGTAAGATGGGACCCTGAGGCCAGAGGGTCAATAAGAGGATGCACAGAGGCAGAGGCTGGAGGCACAGGGAAGAGAGGAGGGACAAAGCCTGAGCCAAATGAAGTCAACAAATACAAGAAGGGTTGGGTGGGGGGTAAAGCTAGAAAGGAAGAGTTGAGGCTTGGAAAAATAAAAGGTAACTAACTAGAAGAGGGGGTATGTGAATAAAAAGGCCAGGAAAGCAAGACTGATTGGTGGGTTTGAGGAAAGGGAGAGGGAACTACACCCAGAGGCTTTACCTCTGGGAGATGGGAATAGGGTGAAAGAACAGAAAAGGGGTGGGATTAGAAAAGGGGCTTAGGCAGGATAGGGTGTCAGGACAAAGCACAGAGCAACATTTACGGGCAGTGGATGGGTAAGAAGGAATGAGGGGCTGGGCTGGGTCATGGGCTGCATGCCAGGGCATAGGATGAGACTGAGACGGAAGCAAGTGAAGGAAACATAGGAATCTCACTCTTATCTATACCACTAACCACAGGGACTTTCCCCCAGAAGCACTGATAACCTTGGGAAAAGGGGTGGGAGAGAGAAGGGACCTTGGTGGGAAGGTTTTCTGGTATGTTCATGTACTCTGGAGAATACATGGGATAGGGACTGTCTCATTTTTGTATCTGTACCCCTAGTTTGGTACACAGTGGGTGTTTGATCAAAGCTTGTTGACTAATTGACAGAAAGGAGAGTGGACTGGGAAGAAACCATGGGGATTAATAGTAATTTCAGAGTAAGGCATGTTAGCCAGTAAGACATGCCTTCAGACTCTCAGAAGAGTTTGAATAAGGCATATATTTTCAGTCATGGTCAATGTATTGGTTTGTTTTGCTTTTATGGTAATTATTTGCTATAAGGGAGGATTCTGTTGAGGGGGATGGGTTATTAGGAAGAGTTACAAAAATAAAAGTATATCAATAAAAGATATAAAAAGAAAAAATGGGGGAAAAAGGTTGAATTCCCACCAACAAGTGAGGATGGGAGGGCTTATAAAAGTGGCTAAGCGAAACTCTTGTATGGGATTACCCTTACAGATGCAGGCAGAATATGGGAGAGATTAACAGCACAAATTACAGGGGGGTATGGGATGGGGAATGAGGCCAGGAGGAATAGGCTGGGAACTAGACATGGAGGGTAACTAGACAGAGTGGGAGAAAACAAGGAGAAAGAACCATGATGGGAAAGGATAGAGAAGGTTAGTTTAGAGAGATGTAGGGGAAGAGCACAAAACAAGTGGAGTAACGTCCTCACCTGCATGGATGGCATCCTGCTGGTGCAGATGCAAGTGGGAGTGGATGTGGGAGTGCTGGTGGTGATGGGGAGTCACATTGAGCATCTGCAGCCGGGCCAGGGGATCATTGCCTAGGGCTGCCACCCTCTCTGCATGCTGCCTTTCAGCTGCTAGCCGCTCTGCATATGACATGTCTGGCCGAAGAGCTGGTCCAGCTGCCAGTGCCAGACGCTCACGCTCTAGAGGCCCTAGGCCTGGGTGGAATGGGAAGGGGTGCAGGCCAGGCGGGGCAGGTTGCAAGGCCAGACCCCCATGTCGAGGGAAGGGATCCAAGCCTGGCCCAGGGACCCCATGCAGGGGCTCCAACTCTCCAGGCTTCACCTCAAAGCCAGGCTTGAGGCGATCTCGAAGGTCACGTTCCCGGGCTTCTCGCTCTCGTTCTCGGGCAGCTGGGTCACTGCTATAGAGGGCTGGGACGTTATAGCCCAAGAGCCCTGGGTCCACCGCACCCAGGGGCACATAGAAGGGATGGTTACGATTACCAGGAGACATGACATGGGGCCGAGCATACTCGCTAAGTGTGCGGAGGGCGGGAGTGTCAGGCCCCAGGTAAGGGGGCACGGTGGCCACTGCACTGCCAGGCTCGAATGGTGGGCGGTGGGGCACAGGGCCCAGTGATGGGCACTCCACTGGGGCACGGCCCTCCTGAACCAGCTTCTGTAGAGGGAGATGATAAAGAAGTAAGGTGAGAAAGGGACACTGGGACTACCCAGGCTTTCTGGCAAGGAGATGACAAATTCCCAAACTCCTTCCCTATCTTACATCTCTAGAAATCTCAGTCCCAGTAAGGGTATACCAAGTTAGCTTATGCTATCAAAAGCAGTCAAGGAAGATGTGGTGTTCTATTCTGGCTTCTATACTTACTATCAACATGGCCCGACTGAGCATCAGTTTTCTCATCTGTAAATTGGAGCTGATAGTAATACTATCAATATTACTAGTAATACTGTAGTGATACTATATAGTATACATATAGTATATAGATATACTGATAGTAATACTACAGGTGCAGCCTACTTCACAGGATTGTTGTGAGAAATGTGTTCTATGTACAGCTTATCAAGGGGAAGTTAAGTGGCCCAGTGGATGGAGTGCAG